ATTCTTATTTATGGGTGACATATAAATTTCATTTCTACATACTCACAACTGATTTTGTTTGTTTTCTATGGTGATATTGATCTTGGACTTTCTTTCCAAACTTCTTGGGGGAGATATATCATTTCCTTTGATTTATTTGATTCCTTTTTAAGAGAGAAGCTAGATTTCTTCAGTGTTTATCAAATTGGAAATTTTCTATAATGATTATCTTTAACTAAGCTACTTGTTGGGAAGAAAAAGTCATATTTATGAGCATCAATATCTTCAACATCCCAGGTGTATAGTTATAAAATCAATTTCCATTAAAAAGATTTTTACTGGGCACCTGGGTGGCTCAGTCGTTAAGCGTCTGCCTTCAGCTCAGGTCATGATCCTGGGGTCCTGGGATCAAGCCCCGCATTGGGCTCCTGGGATCAAGCCCTGCATCGGGCTCCCTGCTCAGCGGGAAGCCTGCTTCTCCCTCTCCCACTCCCCCTGCTTGTGTCCCCTCTCTCGCTGTGTCTCTCTCTGTCAAATAAATAAATAAAATCTTTAAATAAATAAATAAATAAATAAATAAATAAATAAATAAAAAGACGTTTACCTTTTATCTTTGAGACTTCTATGAAAGCAATCTGAATTAACAACAGCTGTATTGTTTGTCCTTTTTGAAGGGCTAATATGCTCCCTTCTCCTCTGCTTCTTACCAACCTGTAGAGCTACTCTCTAAGTCCCTTTCCAAAGGTGTGTTAGCTGCCATTTGGCAAGCAGTAATTTTTTTCTATATGATCTGTTAGTACTTTTAATGCAAACATTATTTAACTTAGACATTATACATTATTGATAACCTTAATGCTGCCAAGTATGTTTGACTTTAGAAACCCACATCCTCTACTTTCATCACATTTCTTATTTCAATATCCTCTTTCCTACGAAAATCAGATATAAGAAAACAATCCTTCATTCCTTATATCATTTTTTTGTTATTTTAAATCTTACCCCATTAAATTACTATTTTTCTGTCTTTTAACTATTTTAAACCATGGGTGATTTATCTTTCAAATTCTATTTGATTTTAATTTCCTTGAGGGTAAGAACCGTGTTTCTCTTTGTATCTGAGTCCCTGATAAATGGTAGGCATTCAATAGAAACTTATTAATAAATGAATAAATAAACAAGTGCGGTATTTGTTTTGATGGGAAGGTTAATGTAAAGAATGTGAAGGCTTAGTATTTAATAAGGACTGTCTACTGTGGACAGCACCACTTCTAAATACTTGGAGCAGAGACTGTTGGTGTTCTGTCTATACTGCCACATACCCCTTACTGTTTCAGTGAATGACAGCTTGTTTTCCACCAGCCTGCAATTGGAGTTTTGTCAGAGTGCTGCCCTCATTGTGACAGAATCCACTTTGCTTGCTAGTGTAACTTGGGCAGGATGTGTCTTGTGTCTGGGAATTAATTTTCCTTGGAGGCAGCCTGAAAACAGTGATTGATAGATTTTGGGGGGATAACTATCCTAGATTCTTTACTCCCTGCCTAAGATAAGTCGGAGATATGTAGTTTACATAATTTTCAGTGTCATAAAACTAAGACAGAATCACTACTAATAAAAGAAGAAAAAGTTATAATCCAATCTGGCAGTAAACACATTTTCAGGTAAGAAGACAAAAAAAGAAAATAATCAAACATTTATAATGCAGTGGTGACAATTAACTACATATTATATGTTTTGTAGCTACAGACAAAAAAGCATTTTCCCAGCTTTTGTTTTGTCAAATTATAAAAAAAATTTTTCTTAGAGAGGTTTTAATATTTATGTAATCAAATATGTTGGAGATTTCTTTGTTGACATATTACTCTGTGGGTTATAAAATAATCACTCACATTTTTCTAAATGATGTTTTGAAATTTTTATATTTAAATATTTAAGATTTTAAAATTAGATTTTTGGTGTATTAGAGGTATGGGTCTCTCTCTCTCTACTTCTTTTTCCTTCTTTTTTCTCAACAAATTGTTAGTCACCCTTAGAATATTTATTGAGGAATGTATCAAATTCCTACTAATATAACATACCACCTTCAATATATACTAAATTTCCAAAAATGCAGAAGACTTGAGTTTTCTATTGTATACCAGCAGTAAACTGTTTTAGTTAGTATAGTTTTATAATATGTTCAATATCTTATTTTTCAAGTACTTTCTCACTATTTTTTAAAAATATTTTGCCTCCGTTTTTCATTTATTATCCTTAGTAAATAATAATAAAAATGCCCATAGAAAGCAACTAGAATTTTGATGGATACTATATTGAATTTATAAATATATTTGGTATTAAAATATATTGACATAACACCACAGAAATATGTGTAAACTTCCATCTGTTCACACATACACACAAGTACATTTTCTTTCTCTTTCTTTTTCTTTCTTTCTTTCTTCCTCTTTCTTTCTTTCTTTCTTTCTTTCTTT